ATAAAATATAACTAAATAATTGTCCAATAAAAATGCGAGTATAAAATAACTAATATTAATAAAATATATATAAAAATTTATATTATAACAATATTGAAAGTTAACAATAATTAAAAAGAAAAGAGTATTATTATTATTATAATAAAAAAAATTATATACTGAGAAATTTTTATATTTAAATTATATTACATTATAGATTATGGAACATATTTGATAACTAATAATATAATTTTAAAATAAAATAACTTATAAAAAAAAATTGAAAGAATATGAAAAAAAGTCAATATTGAAAAAATATTATATTAATTGAATCAATAGCAAGAAGAATTCAAGAGATAATAAAAATAAAAGAAAACTATATAAAATATTAAATATAATTTAATGTATTTAATTTAGTTAAAAAATTAATAATAAATTATGAATTTTTTAATTATTTTAATGATTTAAAATTTTTTAATGAAAAAAGAACAAAAATAATATAATAGTTAAATTTTAATATTTTTTAAATTTTTAAAATATTTATTTAATAATCTATATTATATTTATAATAATAAAAATATGATATATATTAAATCAAGTTAATTATTGATTACTTTGATATTGTTAAATTTTTTAAAAATAATATAATTTAAAAAATTTAATTTAAGTATTATATTCTTTTTGATTATTACTGTATATCTGTAAAAAATAAGTAGTGATTATTGAAGTTTTGTGATATATAAATTATTAATGACAAAAGATATAAATTTATCTATTCTTATTATTAAAGCTAAATATTTGTTTTTGTTTTGAATTTTTCCATTAGATTGATCTTGCAATTTTATTATTTTAGCCTCTAAAAATTACATGATCTGACACCATTACTGAGAGTTCAGTCACGTAATTGTACAAGTTAAAATTATACAGTGGGTGATACTTAAAGATATAAATCACGTGATTTGTTCTATTTTCAAAATTCAAAATTTACATTTAGCTAAAAAGTTAATTTATAATATTTTTTTGAATATACATGATTTTTACAATATCATGTGTATTACACATGTAATATGTAATTATTATAATATGTATCACAATATCATAATTATGATTATAATAAGCATCTTATTTTCTTTAATATTATCCTGATCAAAAAAGTCTTTATTATAATAAAAATATCTTGCTTTCACCTTTCTTGTCTCATATTCCACCCAATACATGTTTGTTATCACCTACATAAATACATACATTCATTTTCCACCATCCAAATATATACATTCATCATCCAAAACTTATTTCTTACTAATCATAAACTCATCTAATTCCTTCTGTGAAATCTGTCTATGTGACCTAAATTTCTTATACACATACTCTGCTAATTTTCCATTAACTCTTCATGATATAATTGCATATATCTTCATGATTTTCAAGCAAACTTCCTAATTGTAATAATATTCACAGAATCAAGTGCTTGTGGAATGGTTTCTTGCAAGTCAGCCCACATATAATCACAGTGGTTTCTCATATAATACTTAGCTGTATCCTAATACATCTCAATAAAATTAAGTTTACAATAGAACTTTGGATAAAAAACATATAAATGACTGGCATCTTCAATTAATTTCACAATAGCTGATTTTTGCACTATAAAATCAGGTTGAGAGACCATAATTCTTCTTGTGCAACAGTTTACCCATGAAGATCTCTCTGCTAACTCCTTGTTCTTACACATCTGACAATCTAAAACTAACTCTTTCTTCTAAAGATCTCTTTCCTGCAATATTCTCTTTATTCCTTTTGATTTTTCTCATAAAGCAAGATCAGAGTAATCTTTGGTAAATATCATTTGTTGAGTTATTAGTTATTCATCAATATCAATAAAAGTTGTCGATCATATAATCAGTTACTTTCTTCCAGGACCCAGATTCATCCTTCTTATAACAAGAGCATCCTTCATATATGCTACATGATTGGTACTATTGTCAAAGATAAAGATGACTATTACATTAGAGAACTTTGTTTCAAAAATAGGAATTACTTTGTACTTGATTTATTCTAGTAGATACTCAACAGTCCAATAATCTTTCTGATTTTTGCCAGATATAAGATAATAACATGTCTTGGTGGGAATATTTAGATATTCAGTTAATTCTTCTTCATTTAGTTTTAAATGACCACACATCTCTAAAAGGAATTTGCTTACTATAATCAATCTCCTATTCCCCTTCTTTTGCAATGATATTTACTCATTTGCCACACAAATTCTTCTTTTGAATAGAAAATATACTCATCATGAGTAATAAAAATTAATTCTTGTTTACCTATTGCGAGTGCCAGTAAAATTATTTTTATTGCTTCTCCTTCATATCTCATTATTTATCATTCCAATTTTTCTATTATCTTTAAAAAATTTTCTCAATATGTAACAACATCCTCTTGTTCATGTCCATCAAAGTATATTCCTTTCTGATATTGCTCAAATCAATAATCCAAGATATTCAACCATCTTTCAGCTATTCACAAGCTGATCATTTTTCTGATATTTATATGTTCTGACAGAATAATATCTTTGATATACTATTTAAACTGGGATGAATTAATGCTATTTATTCCTGATTCTTGTCATATCCATTAGTGACAAGCTAATACTATATCTTTGTCATTGACAAGTCACTTGTATTTTTGGTGTTGACCATGATTTAAGAGTGGAAATGATTCATATTGCAAATAAAATTTGGCCAAAAAATGAATTTTTTTAGCTGTACATGACATTAGAATGATATAGATCATATCTGCAGCTTTCTAGCTAGCTTTTATTTTTTCATTATTATTTAATCATATTAAATACTTATAAATAACATGCCATCTGTTATACTTGAAAGCTATGAAAATTTGTTCATTTTTGAGAGTTCATTCCGAAGTTAAATAACTCTTTCATAAAATATTACTTCCGCATCATCTTTATCTGCTACTGAAAATGTCAAAGACTTGAAGAATGTAAATGTGAAAAATATATGTGTCAAAGTTGCTAAAAATGCCAAAGACCCACTGGCAAAAAAATTAGTAATTTTATGTGTTCTCTTGACAGCCTTGACAAATGAACCAGAAGTGTCAAATTTATGATAATAAGTTATTTTTGATATTTCTTTTATTATTCTTATATTCTCTCTTTCTGCATTCTTCCATATCAAAGTTGTAAGTAGGTGTATCCATATCTTCTCCTCCTCTTCATCAGTTTTGTCAGTTTCATCAGTTCTGTTAGTTTTCTTCTCTTTAGCAGTTTCATCAGCTCTATTAATTACTTCATTTTCCCCCTCTTCTTCGTAAAATTCAATAATTTCTTCTTCAAAACTTCTCTCCTCTCCTAAAATTCCTTTTTCCTAATTTTCTTGGACTAGTTTTCTTCTTTCATTATTGTATTCTTGAAGTCTGATAAATTGTTTCTTTTGCCGAGGCATACTTTAATTAAATGAACTTCGCCCAAAATACACGTGATGAGCAAATTAATTTAAAAAACGTGATTTATGATCGACTAATAAAATTGGATTTCACGTGTTTCGTAATTTGATTGGTCAATCATAAAGGCACGTGAAGAAATTGTGTCCCATTTTGGCCGCTTATCGCTCTGAACATATAAAACAAGATATTTTTAAATGGATATAACTCAGAAATAAGTAATTATTTTTAAAAAAGAAGGCCGACAATTTGTAGTAAATTGGCTTAGCTTCAAAATAGCGGCCTCCTTTTTTTTGTACTACCGCTGTACCATCCTCCATTACTTTTTAAAGTTTTTAAATTTAATTTCCATCTTTAAGTGTCGCGCACTGTACAACGCACAAAATGGACTCGTTAATAGGCTGGATCATGGCATGATCGGGGATATTTCAGATATAATTATTTAAAAAAACAGACATAGCGCGCGTACAAAAAATATTTGATTTTCTAAAGAGATTACCATTTTGTTTATCTATTTGTACGTCTATTCTGTTTATTTCATTGATACTAGTTATCAGGAAATCCAGTTTCAGGCACGTTTTCTATTTTCTCCGTTTGTTTCAACAAAACTTTTCTGTCTGACAATAGCCCACACGCTTTCATCAACAGCCTACCGGTACCCATTGCGAACAACACATTGATCAATATGACGCCAATGTGTGGAGTAAAGTAGTTTAGTTTCCAGACGTAGAGAGATTGTCGGAGGGATAAAAGAATGAACGGGACGATCAGGTAGTTTATGGTGGTCTGCGTGACAAACCAACCAGTTAAGTCGTAGATTCGTTTGTATGATGATAATTTTGGTGTGAGAAAGAGTGGACGAATGTTGCGTCTTATGGCTGAGAAAATTAGTAAAATGGAAGAGTAAGATAAACAATTTCATATAAACCGATCGTTTTTATTTTATTTTATTTTATTACCTCTGTGTGTACTCTGCACGAATGCACCACTCACAAAAGTTACTATAAATAAAACATGTATAAGATTTAATCGTAGTGGCATCATAATGATGTAGTATTTCACAGTCAAAACCTACGATAATAGCCTGGGAAAAATCCATGCCATAAAGCACTAGTCCCAAACGTGGCAAAAGTCGAGAAAAAGCTTGGTTTCTTGCCAGATGGTGTTATGCGTAAATAAACGTAATTTTTCAGCCATTTGTTCGTATTCATGTTCCATGCTTCCAACAGAGTCTTGATATTATCAGCTGTTTCGTAGGCAATGACGTCAATATTTGTGACACGATTCCTACAAAAGAAAATAATATGTCCATGATCATAGAATAGATAAATAATTGTAGATTCTAACTATATACCATTTAACATTTCCTTTATCGTCGTATCCATTAAACCCTAATCCTGATAGAATACAAGCTCCTTCAGCGATCAGCCACACAACATAATATTTGAATCGGGCGCAGAATGCAGCAATTTGTATATAATAGAATCTAAGAAACAAATAAATATAATTAAGTAATCAAAACCAAGTAGATCATATTTTCAATATTACTATTTACTAACCTATACAAGAACGATCTTTTTTTAAATTCTTCACTCAACGTCCATTCAATCGTGAAATCCTTCGCCATCAACATATTTAATGCAATCCAAAACAGCCCAAACATCAATTTTTGCATAGCCGGATAAAATCCATTTGGAATATAGTAAAGATTCTTCTTCTCATCGTCATTATCATCATCTTTTTGTTTATCTAGTATTTGTCCGTTAATTTGACTAAGAATGTTGTTTTTCCGGCTCTGCTTAACCTCATTATTATGTTGCTCCCGATTTTTTGATGAAATTCTGTACATATCCATTGTGATAAATTGACGATAATCCATAAACTCGAACGCCGGACCAACTAAAAAATCACCAAAGAAAAACACGTAGCCAAGATATTCAAGTAATGATGGCATGACCGTGATACGTTTACTTTGTTGATATGGTGTTAATTCCTAAAAATATTGAGAACATAAAGATTTGATGCAAATAAATTGAGGATCATCGGTAATATATATATATATATATATATATATATATATACACACACAAAACTCACTTGAGTTGGTTTTTGACCATCATAAACATTATATGCAAAAGTGGTCAATTTGATCACGAGAATCATTTGTGGCCCCGTTAAGTCAAATTTATCAGAGGAAGTTCGGGATAACTGACGATAAATATGGCTGTAAGACAAGAATAGATAAACGTTAACATTTATGATTATGAAAAAAACGCGGGACGCGAATTTTTCTTGGATGTTACACACGATGATCATATCGATCATACAAATTCCCAAGATCACGCGACCTTAAATGAGATCTCACATTGATATTTACCTAATGCTCAAATGACCCATTGCCAAAAAAAAAACGATTCTCGGTGCCCATTTTCCTTTCACATACACTGTGACGACATAGCAAAGCAACGCACATGCCAAGAACCCATAAACCCCCGTAACAAAACGCGACATTGACGCTGTATTAGCCACGTCAAACATTCCAAACATGACTAGTATAGCGAAGGTTAGACTGAAAAGATGCTTAAGATTTTGATTTTTCGGGGGAAGACTACGAAATATCAGAGCAAGTGGGTAGGTTGACATTAGGGTTGCCAGAACGCGTAGGTGATCCGACGGAACGCCCGTTATCACGGAAGCTTGTGTAAAGAATGTGTTGAACATCTGCATTTTTAGGAAAGGACTTGGGGGCAAGTGAGAGATTCGTAAAAAGTAAAGCTCGCTAGAATTTGATTTTTTTTTCGTGAAACGTCAGTCAGGTTTCTCCTCGTCAAAAAGTTTAAAATTAAAAGATCATTCCACCACAACCTTCTTATATAATGACAGACTTGTTCAAAAGGTCAACTGATATATTTCGTAATATATTCTAACCAAATGACAATCTAGCATAAAGATAAAATGATGATATAATGTATGTAAAATTTCTTAAAGAAGTAGTGGTGGTGTTAGTGTATCATTTGTTATAACGCATCATATCATCATTATACATTTTAATTTAATATATGTAAAGGGTTCATTGATTCCGATTACCCCATTCTTATACCCCAAAAAAATAAGATTTTTCAACGCACATGCCAATGTTCGGTATAAAAAACATCCATCGGTATAAAAATAATTATGATAATAAGATTAATGTTTTTGTAAAGTTATGTGATCCAGCATGTGTGGGTACACGAATCAGAGTTCGCCCCAAACGTGGGCTTTTTGGGGGAAATTGATGTGCATACATTGCATGTTTTTGTGTTACATACATTAATTGCTTTGGATAAACTAAGCAAGAATTCATTTCGGGAATTTATGCTCAAACGTAATTTATATATATATGTTAATGATCCTAACTAAATTTTTCGTAATTATAAGTAAAAAAATAATTGATGCTTAGAGAAATATTATATATATATAAATGAGATTCAGTAATAAAATAATAAAATGAATTTTTTCAAAAAAAAAATTATAATGTGCACATGCAAGTATATACCGTTTCTATAGTTCCATTCAAACTATAGTTCCGTTCAAACAATAATTAAATAAAGTCTTTGCTTGTCCTGATAATATCAGCTATCTGAAAATAAATATTAAATGTAATGTTTTTTTAGACAGGTTTTGAGTTTGTGCCTCCTAAGAATCTCGTCTCAAAAAATCAAAGCTTCTTATGCGACGCAACCGCTCGCTAGATTCCTCATTCGAAGTATTGCTGCTGCTGTCACTGCTGCTCATATTATTACTGTTGCTGTCATTGTTAGTGGCAGTAGGGGTATTGGAGGTTTCTCCACTGGCTACATCTACCGAGGTATTTCTTCGTGATCGTCGACGAAATAGTTTATCCTATAGAAGAATATTGAGATATAATAAGCATTTGGAAAAGAAAAAAACAAAATAACAGCAAAAAGGGGAATACAAACCACCACGGATTCAGCACCAAACCTTCGCGAGAACTCTCGCACATATTCCTGACTTTTCTCTTCCCAAACGGCAAAAGTTTGCCGTAAATCATTTTTCAACTCTGAAAAGTCATTTCGCAGTTCAGTTTTTGTCCCGTGCCAGTTTTGATGGATTGAAGATTTTATTTCAGATATAGATTTTTTTAGGTTTACTTCTTGCTCCTGATGTTGTTGTATTCAAGCAAAGATTTGAGAATTACGTTTCGTTTATCGTTACAATTAAAATGATGAAATAAGTAAATGGGTAAGTACCTTTAAGAAGCCCAAATTAAGTTCCTTTGCTGTAACCCCTCTCTCCAGATTCCTTCTTACATATTGATCATAGTCCCTTACGATACGCGTTATTAGATCTGAAGTGGACACACCTTCGGTGCGTTGTGTAGGAAGAAATTTTCCTTGTTCCTTGACGAATGCATACACATCGGCGGTATCTTGCGAAGCGTAAGGAAGATCGTCGTGGGCGACGTAATCGATCTATAACAAGTGACCATAAAAAAATTTGTTATGCTTACATTATCAGAATTACCCATACAAAAATAGACCACTTACTTTATGTTTATCTAAAAAAGCTTGATCAATGGCCCAAGGTGCATGCTCGATAACCTCATCAACCCATTTACAATGTCTTAAAGATTCCGCACGCTCGTATTCATCCATGACCGTCTTCCCTTTTTTCTCGTGCGTTAACTGATCGTCACAAACTATATTATTTGCATATGAATATAATTTACAATAATGGACAACCGATCACATAATGCAAATCATTTCATTATGTAGCCTATTTACATATATCATAAGATATTGTATACTATCAATTTACCTCCGACAAGTAAATAAACGTCCCGATCTTTAAAGACCTTTTTAGCCTGCTCAAGCATTCTAGCATGTCCGAAATGGAACAAATCAAATATCCCATCACAATAAATTCTAATCGGTCTACCATCCGGTGGCGGGTTTATCGCGTACGTGTATTGAGTGGGTGACAACAGCGGAGGTGAGTGCGGAAGGTGTTTTGTGTTTATTATGGTGGAAGAAACGCCATCGATATTATTTATATTAATATTGTTGTTATTATTATTATTAATTGCTTCCTCTTCCTCTGGAGTAGTAGGCTCGTTTTTTGACCTCTTAGAAGAAATTGGTTCGTCGTCAGTGTGAAACGAGTTCGAGGAATTGGCAGAAAGATCGTTGGCGTCGTCTTCGTAGTTTATGGAAGTTGTGGTGGTGGCGTTTTGTGTGGATTCTTTGTCGACTGCGGTATGATTTGGTGGTGCTTGTTTGGAAGAATTTGCAGTATTGCTGGCTCGCTTGCGTTTTGAAGAAAGTGACATTATGAAAGATTGTTGTGTGAACAGATTAAAGCGAGAATAATGTTAATGGTAATGACAACTGTTGTAAAGTTTCTTGAATTTAATCGTGTATATTTGACAGATATTTACTTAATTAAAACGACAATTCGAAAATTCTTTTTCGTTGATATATAGAAAAAAAGAGGCTAAAAAATGCGGGTGAAACCATCAAAAAAACTTGACACTTGCCCGATTGTATACGTGTCGATGACTTTGATAAAGCACAGTAACAAACATCTCGTGTATTTTCTCTTCTTTTGGTGGTGTACTACGTTATGTTGTACCTAATATCGATATATAATATATTCTATAGTATTGTTGGGGTAGATCAATATCATGAGATGTTCTCATGTTCTCTC